CCTTCCCACTCATCATTACGTTTAAAGCTTTAACTTATTTTCATCTTAGTTCCATAAAAAGCGGATTTACTCGATTCGCCTACGCTGCTCAAGAGGACTTTGGTCTAATTGTTGTATTAAAAAAAAATCTGTGGCATTTTAATAATTGGTTTATGTGCTGTGTTATTTGATTGGGAAACTTAAATTAACCAGCACAGTTATCCAACAGAGAAATAGGAATTGTTAACCAATGGAAAGTGCATCCTCCTTGGTCATAATGTGATCAATATTTGGTGGTTCAAACGAAGTTTTTTCTTTAAACTGACTGGTGGGCGCCGCCATTTCAGCCAAATTGTACTTGCGAAACTCGCTGAACCTTTCTAAGAGGCTTATGCAGGCTATAGAGCGAAGGACATTAACCTGAATGAGCACTTTGAAATCAGTCGGATTAACGTGCCAACTTGGATCAGCTCGACGGACGGCGTCGACCACAGCATCGATAGTTGCCACACGACCAAGTCGGTCGTAAGCACGAGCTTTGAAAGCCACCAAGAAGGTTCGTTCATCAGAAGAAAGTTGTAAAGTGGATGGAAGCGCGCGCTGAGAAGGAATGAATGAAGATGCGGGTTTTGAGGGCTGAGTATCTGGAAAAACCGGGTGGTGTGGAAGGTCCGAAAAACAAAGCGCGATTTATACCAAAGATTATACTAAGGGTCATGCTAAACAGATAGAAAAAATAAAAGCTAATCACAAAAAGAAAAGGATTGTTTCTAAAGCGGAATAGTAGTTAAAATAAATAAATAAATTTAAATAAAATAAAGTAGAAAATAATATTGAAATCGATTTTTTTGTATACTTGAAAACAGTGAGAATCGCAGGTTAAGGAAACCGCTCTGCATAAATATGTTTTTATCCCCCACTTCCTTACTAATTCGCCTATCTTTTTTGAGAGAAGGCACGACGGCAAAATTATGACATGGGAAAAGGTTTTAGCTTGTCTATCTTTAACCAAATTGTCTCCTTGTGAAAATTTGTTCCTCATTAATGACATATTATTCTTAACAAGGCCCAAAGAATAATTATTTTCCAGGAATGAATATTTTAATCGTTCAAACTCTTTAGTCAAATGATTGCTATCCGCAATCATACTCCTAATAATCATTGACTTAAAAATTCCAACTTTAGTTTTGTAACTATGATTATAAAGAAAATTAATCAAAAAGCCAACATGTGCTGGCTTCCTATAAACTTATCTTTCTAGCTTACCATTTTCTCTAATGATGAGAATATCCAGAAAGGGTAGATTTATTCTCTTCCATTTCCATTGTGAATCCAGTGTTCCCTTCACGCTAGTTGATTATAAGTAGAAAACTATCTAAACTTTCCTTAACATGAATCCAGATGGCAAAATAGCCATCCACGCCATCGCCACGGAGTGTTCCTCCAGTCTTGCCATATAATTTATCGCAAAGATAAGAGCCAGGCAAGATTCCATCGCTAATCCTTATGTTTGTTCGTATAACTTGCCAACAAAGATATAATATGTGCTAATCATGCATAGGTTAATAAATGTATTTATGAAAGCTACACTCAGCCTCTTCTGGTGAAAACGAACTTTGGCTCTCTTTTTCATACACTTGTATTCGAAATGAAAGCCCTAACAATAATGTTATCTCAGGAGATTCATCGAAGCTCTGTTACTCTTCATATCCACAATTTTGACTTCGCCTAGATTTCATCAGCACCCACAGATAAGATAAAAACTAGTCTACACTGGATGAGAATACTCTTTAGGAAGCAAGGCTGTAAAGATTAATCGGAAAAATGAAGACTACTCATAGCATTTCGGAAAAATTCAAATACCATTCGTTCATAATCTTAAATGGAATGTGATCTACGAGTCATTTTAAAAACCTACTCACGAAACGAAAATTTAATAAATAATCTTTCCTAATGTCCAGGCGAAAAAAAAGATAATTGCAAAGTATGAAAAAATAGTCTGAGTTAAGGAGTGGGTAGTGCGAAAAGTTATTAATAGCTGGCGTAGCAAACCATGGGCTAATCAACTAAAAAAGTGATTGAAGATATGAAGACCAAGATGACGTGGCCTCTGTTATGGTCACAGTCTTCTTCGATTTATATAAATGGGTTGACCTCGTCGTCGCAACTCGGTCTTGTTGTTAGGGGGACTTAGTAGAACGCACCTAGTCCGAAGTCATCTGCCATAGTAGTTGTCATGAGTCCCAGCAACAGACAGTGGACTAGGTACCTTCTCAAACGTTTCGCTGTCATCGTAGTCGGCGTTTGAGAATGTACCAAGTCCACTGTCTAATGCTTGGAATCAAGACAACTACTATGGCAGACGACTTCAAATTAGGTGCGTTCTACTAAGTCACCCTGACAATAAGACCAATTTGTGACAACTAGGTCAACCCACTTGAAAAAATGATTATTTAAGGAATCGTATTAAATGTAAAAAATCTGGTCCGAGTAAGTAAAACTGAGGCAAAACGCTTGAAAAAGCAAATATAGGAAATTAACTATAGAATTGCTTTTACTTACATCTATCTCACGGAGACATGAAGATAAATGTCTATTTAAAGGTCATATTTAGGTAAAATGAGGAACTAGAAAACGGATTCAAAAAACGTTAGGGGACTGATAAGGCAGAGAACAAGGTTATTAGCAGAAAGTAAAAGAAAGACGTATGGATATTACGCACCTGAACCTGCGACAAAAGAATCAAGCGTATTTTCTAATTGTTGAGGAATGCCCATAAAATTGCACCACAGATCGAAGACAGATGCTCCAATTGCAATGGTGTCAGCGCGGGAGGTCATCGCGACAGGAAGAAAGCGGAGCAAGTGCCGCGACCTGGACTGCCCAGTGGCTAATATACGAGAGAAGATGGCATGAACCAACTGAAATTAGTATAAAAAAGGAAATGGGTTT